CGGACTGTCGAAGGTATGACGATCCGTCGTAGATGTCCGTTGGAGGAAACTTAGAAAAAGTGAGAGACCCTTAGGAATAGGGCCTCTGATTGTCATGAACAAATGTGTAAGACGGACCATCATGGAATGACGGTCCGTCGCATGTGTCCGTTGGAGGACACATAGAAAAAGTGAGACAAGAACAGGATCTCCAACAACTAGAACGGTTGTGCAGGAATGACCATCGTGGGAACGACGGTCCGTCGCATGTGTCCGTTAGTGGACATTTGGACAGTGGGGTATTGGGGATCGTGGGAACGACGGTTCGTCATTGGGGTCTTGTTCTTTTATTGAGGGACAGAACTGGGGATGCCCCATTCATCCCCTATGACCCAAATGGAATTATTAGTGTTTTAACCTACATTTGTCTAACCCAAATACCTAGTAAACTAGCAATGCTAAAGCTCCTATTTCTAGAGTTATAACAAGGCAATTTTAAGGATTCTAAACCTATGTCAGACAGAATATGTATTAAAGAGTGAAACCATCAATAAAAATATGTAATACTAATTGATAAACAAAAATGCAATGTAAATGGGTAGAAATCAGAGACACATACCCGAGAATTTGATAAAAACGAGCAAGGAAGGTACTTGGTTATCAAGTAGAGAACCACAGTAGCAGACTGCGACTAGTAGATACTGGATTTTAGAAATTGGGGAAGTTGGGAAAATGATCGGTTGAAAGAAAGACAGGTAGGAAATTGGAAGTTGAAAAGGGAGGGAAATGGGAGGAAGAGGGAAGGAAATGGGTTAAAGGAAGGGGGTGGGGTTTTTAAATGTGAAGAATTTTTAAAACCCCCAGCCGGGTCGGGTCGGTACGCTTCATTAATGATGCGATGAGTCCCTGGCGACGGTCCGTCTCAGTTGTGATGGTTGCGACGGTCCGTCGCAAGCAAGACAGACCGTCGATGTATCCGTCAGTGACTGCTGCAGAGTGATTATCTAAAGAATTTCCTGGGGATGTGCCTGCAAATTTAAAACCCATTAGTAGAAAATGCTACCATTACTAAAAACAAAAACTATAAGTATTGGGTTGCCTCCCAACAAGCTCCTTATTTAACGTCGCGACACGACTTATGAGACTTGATTACTCAGCCTTCATCAAGATGGTATGCCTCTATCACTTCATTCACCGATGCAGTATGCCAAAAATAGAGTTTTACTCGTTCTCCATTAACCTTAAACCACACTCCCTCCTTGGTTTCTAACTCAACTGCTCCATGAGAGAATACTTGGGTAATCAAGTAAGGGCCAATCAGTTTGGACTTGAACTTGCCCGGAAGCCAACGCAACCTGGAACTGTCTAAAAGAACCAAATCCCCAACCGTAAACTCTCGTTTCCCTTTTTAGGTCATTATCCTTCTTCGTCTTTTCTTTGTAGGATATAGCAGATACCGATCGGAGCTCACCACTCTGCCTCATGGACACTCAAATATTGAAGGTCGCTTCTTCATTGTTCAACCGAAATTTCATCTGCCCCTTTTCCATATCAACTAAGGATCTACCCGTAGCAAGGAATGGCCTCCCAAGAATAATAGCCAGTTAAAAATTGACTTCACAATCAAGAATAACAAAATCTGCCGGATATATGAACGACTCCACTTTTACTAGCACATCGTGGAGTATCCCTATAGGCCTTTTCACAGTTCGATCTGCCATCAGTAGCCATATAGCAGTGGGCTTTGGGTCACCCAGACCCAACTTCTTGTAAATCGAGAGGGGCATGAGATTTATGCTTGCCCCTAGATCACATAATACTTTTGCAAAATGTATTGACCCGACAATACTAGGAATAGTGAACGCACCCGGATCTTCTTTCTTTTGTATGACAGAACTTGTAGCAATAGCACTACAATGCTGCATTCTATCATCATCCTCGAAAGTGACCAATATTTTATTTGTAACCAGATCTTTCATAAACTTGGCATAATAGGGCATTTGTTCTTGAGCTTCTACCAAAGGACATTTATATAAAGATTCTTCAACATTGTTATAAAACACCGATATTTACCATCCTCGGTCTTTTTCACTAATCTATGAGGAAAGGGTGGTGGTGGTCTAGGCATAGAAATTACCTTTATAGGGACTTCTGCATCTTTCCAGTGCTATCTTCTACTTCACCACTACCCTCTACCACCTTATCATTATACTTTCTCACCTTTTCCTCATTAGACGGCATAGGTGGGTCGTCAATGGTTTGATTACCACCCCGAGTAGTGATTGCCATATAGTGTGCATCATTTTTCGGATTTTGGACAATGTTGCTAGGAAGAGTGCTTGGTTTCTGTGTGTTCACAATCGCAAATAATTGGTCCATTTGCAACTCCATCTACTTAATAGATATTGCATGTATATCGACATTCTGCCCAATACCCGCTAAATCACTCCTTTACTTTTTAATATGCGTATCATTAGCATCAAACTTCCTTATTATTTTGTACAACATATCCGCAACTCGCGCCATACTATCTCCACCATCCCTAAGAGAAACTTCACGATTTTGAGGAATGACATAGGACCCATTCCTATAATTTGTGTTACCGTAGTTACCCTTGTTGAAGTTGTTGTCGCAATTGTATTTTCCATCTCTGATATAATGACCCTCATGGTTATAGTTACGATAGATCTGACCTTGGTTCCCTTGACCTTGGCGCCAATTATCCTTATTTGATCCTTGGGCACTCGGTCGGAAAAACCCCGTCTACTCATTTACTTCATAGAAATCCTCCGCATAATAGCATTCATCATTTTGTGGTGGTGGTTTAGACAAGTAGTTAACTACATTTATCTTTTCTGCACCCCGAGTGATATGTTTTAACACCAACCCAATCTCAGTTCTCATTTGTGCCATCTCTTCACAGATCTCATCTGGGCTGGGTTGTGAGTGGATTGCACTGTGAAAATCTTTCTTTCAGTATCTGACTTCCTAGTACTCTAAGCTTTATTGTTCTGGGAGATTTTCTCTAACTTTTCAGCAATCTCAGCATAAGGACACTCCCCATAAGAACCACCCGCTATAGTATCCAACACCACTTTATTATTATCATCCTGTCCCCGATAAAAGTATTCCTTCAATGACTCATCTTCTATGCAGTGATTGGGGACGCTTCTCAAAATGAGGTGAATCTATCCCAAGAAATACTAATTGACTCTCCTGGTAGTGCAACAAAGTTGTTCATTCTTTCTTTGTGGTTTAGTTTCTTGGAGACCAGGTAGTAGCGTGCTAAGAGAACGTCCCTTAGTTGTTCCCAAGTAAAAATTGAGTTGGAAGGGAGCTCAGTGAACCAATTAGTAGCCTCTCGCGTCAGTGAGAGAGGAAACACTCTTAGCCCTATTATATCCATGTCCAAGTACAGCCTCCCTACACAACTTTTACACACTGCCCTTACCTTAGCTATATGGGCATGTGGATCCTCAAAGGTAGCCCTGAAAACAAACCTCTGGCAGTTAGCATTTGCATCAAGATACTAGTTACCAAAAAGGTGTGGCCTGGTGGTAGTGGGAGCAAGACAAGCGGCCCTTCGGAGTCTACTATATTGTCATAGCCTCTGTGGTATTCTTGGGGACGTGGAGAGGGGTTCTGTCTTCTCTGTTGGTTCTCACCTGGATCATCGGTTAACAACTGACCATAAACATCAACTAGAGCTGGGATGTTCTGGTTTGGATCATCATCATTAATACCCAAGTTTTGATTCATATTGAGTAGTGTACCCTCTAATTCGTGATCATAGGGAAACAAGGATTCTCTTCCTTTGCATGTATTTAGCATACAAGGAAGATGGTTATGCAAAAATAAAAAAAAATAAAACGAAGTAATATCAGGAAAATATTGAATAAACTATAATAATAATTTTAAGTTAATCCAAAAGCTACTTTCCCCGACAGCGGTGCCAAAGTTTGATATGCTCAAACTTACTTCTCAAATAAGAAGTAAAGCGGCCGTATCAAGTGAAGAAGCTAGCTAATGAGGTTGGGATCGTTCCCACGAGGAAAATAGTTCAGACTTAACATCAATCTATTATTACTACTATTTAATCAATTATTTCTTTGGAAAGCAAAGACAATAAAAGGGTTTTTTTTACTTCTAAATAAATGAAAATAACTATCTAAATTAATGGAGACAACTAACACCTTCAAATGTTGAGGTTTAATCAATTAACAAAAGTAACTAGGGTGTATGTGTTCCCCACAAGTTTCTAACTTGATAATTCTAACTATAACAATTCTTTCCTAGTATATCTTGCATGCAAAGTGATAAGTTATGTATTTCTAAATCCTTGATTTGGCATCTAAAAAGTTTCACTCTGCACCTTGGTCTTGCTACGTGTGTTGCTATACTAACCCTTACCTTCACCTCATATTAAGCATCGTATTCGATATTTGACTAAGTTATTACCTCGTACCAATCAATACTAGCCTATTAGATAGTATACATTAAATATATGTTGATAATTTTTTTCCTATTATCTACCTCCTTGGTCCGATAAGTAGCATTAAGTCGAGTTCTAGCGTAGGCCATCCGTTAAAAAGACTTCTAAGCAAAAGAATTATCAATATATGCAAGACACTATTCTAGAATTGTTATTTTAGTTAGGTTTTACCTCATTATTCGCCTATTGTTCCCACAACCCTAGTTATAGAGTTTAGTTACCTATAGTCATAATCAAAATATTCAAGTATGTAATATAAGAATTCATGCACTTACTTCAATGAGAAAGAATACAATCCAGAAGTTCACTTAATTAATCAACAAAAATCACCAAAAATCAATTACTGAAATTAATTGAAGACTAAAGATTCTCCAAAAGTGTAATAATTACAAAGTCTAATCCACAAAAGAATCTCAAATTACCAAGAGTCTAACCCCCAAAACTAGATTTTTCGAACTATTTATAAAATAAATAAAAAACCTAATTAAATAAGGACTCTATTTGCTGAAAATCTATCAAAATGCGGCTGGATCGACGGACCTCGCGACGGATCGTTGTTGTCACGACGGGCCGTCATGGACTCCGTTGTCCCATACTTATGCAATTTCTTCTGCAGCTCTCTTCATTATCCTCGACAGCAGGTATGACAGATCGTCACTGGCACAACGGTCCGTCAAGGGTCTCTGTTTCATACCACTTGAACTCTTGGAATTTGGGTACTGGACTACTTCTCTGATCTTCATGACGAACAAGCAGGACGGACCGTCATGGCTAAGACGGTCTATCACTCACTCTGTAACCCCACACTTGGTCAGACTTCCCCATCTTCCTTCGACAGCTGCACTACGATGCCACCTATGGACCGTCACGGGCATGATGAACCGTTACAAGCTCTGTAGGAGGTACTTTTCTGCATTTCGTGCTCAAAACCTCCATTCATCTTTTAGACAGATTTCCTACAAATAAAGAGAAACTTACACAAAAGTTAATACAAAAAGGCTTTTGGTCACACTAGACTTAAGGAAATAGCATTAAAAATACCGTGAAACCACAGTATATCAACAGGCATTCATGAAAAGATTTAAGTTTTGTTCTTTATCGACATGATATTCTATGGTTATTACTGCTAGTCAAAGTTTTTTGATGTTTTTTCCATTGTTTATGTGTGTTTCTTTATATTTCGGTCATTTGTGTGAACTTACATAAAATTATACTATTTTTATGAAGTAACGAAAAGAAGTGAAGTTTTGTTTTGTTATTTAACACAATGTTCTAAGGTCATTAGGGCAAGTCAATATTTTTCGAGTCACTTTTCAAAATATTTATGTGTTTCTTGATATTTCTTCTAGTTTGGGGTTTACGTAATATTCACCCATTTTAGGGAAGTTACTAAAAGAATTAAAATTTTATTTTTTTATTCATCACGATATTCAAGGTTATTGGTGCATTGTCGAAAAATGTTGAGGCGTTTTTTGTTATTTTTTGTGTTCTTTGATGCTTCGGTCATTTTTGTGCATTTATGAAAATAATTATAGATTTATTCTGTTATTCATCACGATATTCTAAGGTTAGTGGTGCAATTCAAATTTTTTTGAGATGTTTTTTGTATTTGATGTGTGTTCTTTTTTTGGGGGGGCTATTTTTCAGCAGTTACAAAAAAATAAAGTTTTGTTATGTTATTCTTCATGATATTATAAAGTCATGGTGCAAGTTAAAAACAAATTCGAGGCATTTATGTATTGTTTATGAGTGTTTCTTGAATTTCTGTCAATCTGGACGCATTTACGTAATATTTAGTCATTTTTGGGTAGTTACAAAATGAAGTACAATTTTATTCTTTTGTTCATCATCATATTTTTAGGTGATAGGTGCAGGTCAAAAAAATTTAAGGCCTTTTCTGTATTGTAAATGTGTTTTTATATTTTTCAACCTTTTTTCCATTTACGTAATATTCCGTCTTTTTTGGACAGTTATGAAAAGGATTAAGTTTTTTTCTTTTATTCATCACGAAATTCTCAGGTCATTGGTGCAAGTCTAAATTATTTTGAGTCATTTTTTATAATGCTTATCTCTATTTCTTAATTTTCTGCCATTTTGGGCATTTACCTAATATTCGGCTTTTTTTTGGTAGTAACGAAAGAAGTAAAATTTTGTTTACTTATAATATTCTAAGGTAATTTGAGCAAGTCAAAACATTTTTGTGGTGTTTTTTGAAAAATATTTTTAGTGTGTTTCATGATTTTCAACTATTTTGTTGCATTTACATAACATTCTATTGTTTTCAGACAGTTACGAAAAGAAGTAAAATTTATCGTTTTATTCGTCAAGATACTATAATGTCATTGGTGTAAGTTAAAATTTTTTGATGCATCTTTTTTATTCTTTATGAGTGTTTCTTAATTTTTTGCCATTTTGGAGCGTCATGAAATATTCAGCCATTTTTGGACTATTACAAAAAATATTTCTATTTTATGGCGTTATTCGTCACAATATTGAAGGTCATTGGTGCAAGTTAAAAACATTTCGAGGCGCTTTATGTATCTATTATGTGTGTTTCTTGATTTTTCGTTTATTATGGGGCGTTGGCATCATATTCTGTAATTTTCGGGAAGTTATGAAAAAAAGTAAAGTTTTATTCTATTGTTCCTCATGATATTCAGAGGTCATTGGTACAAGTCATAATTTTTTTTGAGGTATTTTTGCATTGTTTATGTGTATTTCTTGATAATTTGACAATTTTGAGCGTTTACGTAATATTCGCTCATTTTGGGGCAATTATAAAAAGTAGTAAACTTTTGTTCCATTATTCGTCACGATATTCTAAAGTGATCGTGCAAGTCAAAAAAATTGAGGTGTTTTTTGTATTGTTAATGTGTGTTTCTTGAATTATCGATTATTTTTGTGTTTTTACGCAATGTTCGTCCATTATCAGGTAGTTATGAAAAAAGTGAAGTTTCATTTTATTCATCACGCTATTGTTAACTCATAACTGCAAGTCAATTTTTTTTGAGGAGCTTTTGTATTGTTTATGTATGTTTCTTGATTATTCGACCATTTAGGGTGTTTACATAATATTTGGAAATTTTCATGCATTTACAAAAAGAAGTAACATTTTTTCTGTCATTCGTCATGATATTCCAAGGTGAATGGTATAAGTTGAAATTTTATTGACACATTTTTATATGTTTCTAATTTTTTGGTACTTTGGTACATTTACGTAATATTCAGCAAATTTGAGTAGTTACTAGTAGAGTTTTAGTTATTTATGACAATATTCTAAGGTAATCGGTGCAAGTCAATATTATTTTGAGGCGTTTTTGTATTGCTTATGTGTGTTTCTTTATTTTTCGATCATTTTTTGTCATGTACGTAATATTCGGCCATTTTGTTGTATTATTCTTCACGATATTGTATGGTCATTGGTGCAAGACGAAAATTTTTGAAGCGTTTTTTGTATTGTTTATGTGCGTTTCTTGTTTTTTCAACCATTTTGGGTAATTTTAGAAAGAAGTTAAGTTTTTTTTCTATTATTCGTCACGATATTCTCAGGTCAATTGTGCAAGTCAAAATTTTATTGAGTCGGTTTTTGTATTGTTTATGTGTGTTTCTTTATTTTTCGACCATCTTGGGGGCATTTACGTAATATTCGGCTATTTCTAATTAGTTATGGAAAGAAGTAATTTTTTTATTTATTTTTCACAAAATTCTAAGGTCATGGTACAAGTCAAAAAAATTCTTTAGTAGTTCTTTGTATTGTTTATGTCTGCTTCTTGATATTTTAGCCATTTGGGGAGTTTACGTAATATTCAACCATTTTCAGGAAACTTACAAAAAGAAGTAAATTTTTATTATTGTACACAATATCCTAAGGTCACTATGGATGGTCAAAACTTTTTGATCCCCTTTTTGTATTGTTTATGTGTTTCTTGATTTTTAAGCTAGTTTGGGGTGTTTCTTTAATATTTGTCCTTTTTAGGCACTTACGAAAATAATTAAAGTGTTGTGTTGATATTGTCACAATGTTCAAGGTTATTAGTGCAAGTCGATTTTTTGCGGCGTTTTTTATTATTTATGTGAGTTTCTTGATTTTTTGTCCAATTCAGTGAATTTATGTCGTATTCGGCCTTTTCTGCGCAGTTACAAAAGGTAGTAAAGATTTGTTCAGTTGTTTGTTACCATATTCTAAGGTTGTTGGTGTAATTAAAAATTATTTAAAATGTTTTGTATTATTTGTGTTTTTGTTTATCTTTTGGCCATTTTGGGGTATTTACGAAATATTCAGCCCTTTTCAAACAATTACAAAAAGTAGTACAAGTTGGTGATGTTATTTGTCATGATATTCTATGTTCACTGGCGCAAGTCAAAAAATTTTAGGCATATTTTGTATTATTTATATGTGTTTCTTGATTTTTCGGCCATTTTAGGGTGTTTACATAATATTTTGACATTTTCGGGCAGTTACGAAGAGAAGTAACGTTTTATTTTGTTGTTCATAATTATATTGTAGGTCGTTGGTGCAAGAAAATTTTTTATGAGTCGATTTTTTGTATTTTTAGAAATATTTTATATTATTTATGTGTATTTATTGATTATCCCATCATTTTGGGTGGTTACGTAATATTCGGTAATTTTTGGACAATTATAAAAAAGTAATGTTTTTCATATGTTATTCATCACAATATTCTAAGGTGATTTTCAAGTTGATTTTTAGGCATTTTTTAATGTTTATGTTTGTTTCTTATTTTTTCGCCTTTTTGTGTGTTTACATAATATTCGTTATTTTTGGGTAGTCACAAAATGAAGTAAAGTTTTATTTTGTTTTTTATCATGATATTCTAAGGTTATAGGTGCAACTCAATAAAATTTTGAGACATTTTTTGTATTAGTTGTGTGTTTCTCGATATGTCGACTATTTTTGGCCATATACGTAATATTCGTGCACTTTTTGATAGTTATGAATAGAAGTAAAGTTTTGTTGTATTATTCGTCACGATATTCTAAGGTTATTAATGCAAGTCAAAAATTTTAGAGGCATTTTTTGTATTGTTTATATGTGTTGATTTACCAACCATTTTTTAGCATTTACGTGATATTTGACCATTTTCAGACAATTATGAAATGAAATAAAGTTTTTTTCATTTATTCATTACGATATTCGAAGTTCAATTCTACAAGTCAAATATTTTTGAGGCTTTTTTGTATTGTTTGTAAGTGTTTCTTGATTTTTCGGCTATTTTGGACATTTTTGTAATATTCGATCATATTCAGGAGTTGCGAAAAGAATTAAGTTTTGTTGTTCAATATGTCATGATATTCTAAGGTCATTGGTGCAAGTCAATGTTTTTAGTAGTATCTGTATTATTTATATGTGTTTCTCAATTTTAGGCGATACTGAGGCATATACGTAATATTTTGCAATTTTCAAGCAGTAACGAAAAGAAGTAAGGTTTTGTTATGTTATTCCACACGATATTTTAAGGTTATTAGGGAAAGACAAAAAAAACATTGAGACATTTTTTTGTATTGTTTGTGAGTTTGTTGATTATTCAGCCAGTTTGGGGCGTTTACGTAATATTCTCCCAATTTCAGGTAGTTACGAAAAGAATTCAAGTGTTTTCGTTATTCCTCATGGTATTCTAGATTATTGGTGCAAGTGGAATTTTTAAGGAGTATTTTGTATTTTTTTTATGTGCTTTATTGATTTTGGCCTTTTTCGGGTAGTTACAGAAAGAAGAAAAGATTTGTTCAGTTATTCGTCATGATATTCTAAGGTCAGTGATGCTACTCGAAATTGTTTTGAGGTGTTTTTGGTGTTGTTTGTGTATTTCTTGATTTTTTTGATCATTTTGGGCATTTACATAATTTCGGCCATTAACGGAAAGTTACGAGAAAAAAAGTAAAGTTTTGATTCTTTATTCTTCATGATATTCCGAGATCATTGATTCAAGTCATAATATATTGAGATTTTTTTTGATTTTTTACGTGTGTTTATTGATATTTTAGATATGTTGGAGCATTTACGTAATATTCGACCACCTTATGACAGTTACAAAAATAAGTAAAGTATTGTTGTGTTATTCATCATGAAAGTTTTAGGTCATTGGTCCAAGTCAAAACAATTTGAGGTTTCTTTTGGTATTATTTGTGTCTTTCTTCATTTTTCTGTCATTTTAGGGCGTTAACATAATATTCAACCATTTTCGTGCATTTACGAATGGAAGTAAAGTTTCGTATGATTATTCGTCATGATATTCTAAGGTCATTGGTGCAAGTAAAATTTCTATTAAGGCGATTTTTGTATTGTTTATATGTGTTTCTTGATTTTTCCATCATATAGGGACATTTAAGTAATATTTTGCCATTTCAGGCAATTACAAAAAAGTAATGTTTTTTTCTAATATTCATCACGATATTCTAAGGTCAATGATGCAAGTGGAAATTTTCAGGCGTTTTGTATTCTAATATGTTTCTTGATTTTTTTCGTTTATTTTGGGGCATTTACGCAATATTTGACCATTTTCGGGATGTCACAAAATAAGTATGTTTTGTTCTTTTGTTCGCCACGATATTCTAAGGCATTGGCGCAAGTAAATTTTTTTGAGTCGTTCTTTGTATTTTTTGTGTATTCTTGATTTTTTGTCATTTGGAGCATTTACATAATATTTGACTATTTTTCAGGCAGTTACGGAAAAATGTAAACTTTTGTTCTGTAACTCGGCACGATATTCCAAGGTCATATCAAGAAACATACATAAACAAGAAACACATATATGTAAGTAAAAATTTTTGTGAGGTGCTTTTTGTATTGTTTATGTTTGTTTCTTGATTTTTGGGCCATTTCATTTATGTAATATTCTGTCATTTCCGAGCAATTACAAAAAAGGTAAACTTTTGTTGTCTTATTCATCACGATATTCTAAAGTTATTGGTGCAAGTAAAAAAAATGAGGCATTTTTCGTATTGTTTATGTCTGTTTCTTGATTTTGACCACTTCATTTACGTATTATTTAGCTTTTTTTGGAATATAAAAAAAAAGAAGTAATGTTTGTTTTTTTCTTCCTCATAATATTCTAAGGTCATTTGTTCAAGTCGAAATTTTTATGAGGCGTTTTTTGTATTGTTTATGTATGTTTCTTGATTTCTTCTTCTATTTTGGGGCATTTAGATAATATTTAGCCATTTTCGCGTTGTTAAGAAACGACAAAGTTTTTTATTATTTAATTTCATAATATCTAAAGGTCATTGGTGCAAGTCCAAATGGTTTATAGGCAATTTTATAATGTTTGTGTGTTTCTTGATTTTTCGGCCACTTTTGGGCATTAGCGTAATATTCGGTCATTTTCTAGCAGTTACGAGGAAAAGTTTTTGTCCATTATTCGTCACATATTCTAAGGTCATTGGTGCAAGTCGAAATTTTTTTGAGGCACTTTTTGTGTTGTTTATGTTTGTTTCTTATTTTTTTGGCCATTTAATTTTTGTTTTATTTGGCCATACTCTGCAAATTACTAAAAGTAGTAAACTTTTGTTCTGTTATGCATCACGATATTCTAAGGTAATTGGTGCGAGTAGAAATTTTTCGAGGCTGTTTTTATATTGTTTATGTGTGTTTCTAGATTTTTTTTTAAATTTTGGGAAATTTATGTAATATTCATTCATTTTGGGATAGTGACGAAAACAAGTAAAGATTTGTTTCTTTTATTCGTCGCAATATTCTAAGGTCATTGGTGCAATTAAAATTTTTTGAGGTGGTATTTGTAATGTTTATTGGAGTTTCTTGATTTTTCGGTCATTTTGGGGTACTTACATAATATTTGGCAATTTTCAGGTAGGTATGAGAAGAAGCAAAGTTTTGTTCTGTCATTCGTCACGATATTCTAAGGTCATTAGTATAAGTTAGATTTTTTGAGGCAATGTTTGTATCGTTTATGTTTGTTTCTTGATTTTTCGGCCTTTTCGGGGGAATTATGAAAAGAAGTAAACTTTTACTCTATCATTCATTAAGATATTTTTATCTCACTCGTGCAAGTCGAATTTTTTTGAGGCGTTTTTTATATTGTTTATGTGTATTTCGTATTTTTTTGGCCATTTTATTTACGTTATATTAGGACATTGTCAGAAAATTACAAAAAGAAGTATAATTTTGTTATGTTATTCTTCACGATTTTCTAAGTTCATTCGTGGAAATTAAAATATTTACAAGACATATCTCCCTCATCTGATATTAAAAATTACAAACCCAACAGCATTGGAAAGATATCTCGAAATGCTTTCCGACCATATCAATAACTACCGCTAACTCTTCCTGAGGTAGAAGTTATGACTGTTTGAGAATGATGAAAACTCACTTCTTAAACTAAGAAAAATTCCAGAGTTTTCCTTTCTTTCCCAAAGTGATTTTTTTTAGTTTCTTAGTTATCTTAAGTTATTTCATGTTATAAGATGTTACAATATCTCCCCCTTGGGAACATTCGTCCTCGAATGAGCTTTCTTTCACTAAGCTAAGAATAATAGCTTCAAGATTAACACTCAAAATCAAAAGCAAGTGATGAAATGCTTATTCGTATCTTACAAAACACCAAAAGAGAATTAGTACCTTGATCTGGGTTCTCTGCGGATTCAAAGATATGTGGATATCTCTTCTTTATATACTCTTTATTTTCCCAAGTCGCTTCTTCAACAAATTGGTTCATCCAAAGGAGCTTGACTGAAGCAACCTCCCTTTTTCTCAACTTGCAAACTTGGCGATCTAAAATCTGAACCGGAGTTTCTTCATAGGATAAGTTATTATTAGTCCCAAAATTTTCAGTTGGTATAATGAATGAATGATCACTCATGCACATCTTCAACATGGATATATGAAATACTTGATGAACCGCTTCTAACTCTTGTAGTAGCTCCAACTCATAAGCTACATTGCCAACTCTCTTTTATATTCTATAAGGTCCAATATACCTGAAACTAAGTTTCCCCTTCTTACCAAACCTCATAACACCCTTCATGAGTGAAAATTTTAGAAATACCCAATCATCCACTTCAAGATCCAACATCGTCCTCTTAATATCTATGTATGAGTTTTGGCGACTTTGCGCCATTTTCAATCTCTCTTGAATCACCTTCAACTTTCCCATGGATTGGTGAACTAGATCTAGTCCTATCAATCCTGTCACGAACTTTGAACCACCCAATAGGAGATCTACAAATGGATCCACATAAGGCTTCATAGGGTCCATTTGGATGCTCGGATGGTAGCTATTGTTGTAAGTGAACTCAATGAGAGATACGTGATCATCCAAATTTTCCTTGAAATAATTCACACAAGACCTCAACATATCTTCGAAGGTATAGATAGTACGCTCTGCTTTCCCATTCGTCTGAGGATGAAAAACAGTGCTTAAGTTCACCTTTCAACCCAAACCATTTTTGAAGGACTTCCAGAACTGATTAGTAAATTGTGCACATCTATGTTGGATGATTAAACTGTGACTCCATGAAGTCTCACCACCTCCTGAATGTATAACTTTGCACAATCCACTATCGAATGAGTGGTCTTTACGGGCAAGAAGTGTGCTAATTTTTCCATTCTATGAACAATCACCGAAATTGAATAATACTGCCTGCGAAACCTTGGTAACCCTGTGCTGAGGGTCTTATTAATAATCTCCCACTTCCATTCTGGAAGTTCTATATTCTTAGCCAAACCTCCATTCGTTTGGTGTTCTACTTTAACTTGTTGCCAATTAGATCACTTGGCAACAAACTCAATAATGTCATTCTTCCTACCTTCCCAATAGTATACCTCTCTCAAGTTGCATCACATCTTGGTGGAACCGGATGAATGGAGTATCTGGAGCTATGATCCCCATCCATGATCCTATCTTGGATTGCATCAACCCTAGGTACACACAATCTATACCTTGATATTTTTGCACACTATATCCCCCTTGTTAAAAAGCCAATACTCTTTGCGTATGAATATTCACCTTTAGATCAAGAAAAATGGGGTCTCGTTCTTGCTTTTCTTTCACCTTAGACACTAGTGATGATTCAATCCTATTTGTCTCCACTTCCCTTCCTTCTATGGAATCCACAAGTATGACTTCCAAGCATGTGAGTCTGTGCACATCTTTTGCTAACTCCCTCTTTTCTTCCTAAACATGAGAGGTACTCCCCATGTATAACCTTCTTAAAGCAACAACAACCACATTAGCCTTACCTGGATGGTAAAGAGCACTCGTGACATAATCCTTGAGTGATTCTAACCACCTCATCTATGTGAAATTGAGCTCTTTCAGGATGAACACATATTGTAGGCTATTTTGAGAAGTGAATATATCAACATGAACACCATAAAAGTAGTCATATCTTCAAGGCAAAAACTACAAAAATCAATTCTAAGTCACGGGTTACATAATACTTCTCATAAACCTTCAACTATCTGGAAGCATAAGCTATAAATATTCCATTCTTCATTAACATGCAAACCAAACTGACTCTAGAGGCATCACATTACACCATAAAACATTGAGTACCTCTGGTAAGGTCAACACTGGGCAGTATTCAACCTCTTCTTCAATTCCTGAAAGCTTTTATCACAAGCTTCATACCATTGGAGCATAACTGTCTTCTACGTCAACTTACTCAAAGGTGACGAAATATACAAAAATGCCTCTACAAAACCTTCTATATTAGCCATTCAAACCCAAGAAACTCCTTATATCAGTTGGGGACGTCGGTCTAGGAAAACTCTTAACTGCTTCAATCTTATAGATGTTAACTCTTATCCCATCCCCGAAAAATATGTTGCCCCAGAATGCCACAAGCTAAAGCCGAAACTCACACTTGGATAACATGACATACGACTCCTTATCTTTCAAATTCTAAAGGACTATTTTGATATGACTAGCATCATCTTCTTCCTTCCTTAAATAGATTATTATGTCATCAATGAAAAAAATAACCAATATATGTAAATAAGTCTTGAAGACTCTGTTTATAAGATCCACGAACTTTGTTGGTACATTGGTCAATCCAAAAGACATACCCAATAACTCGTAATACCCATATTTGGTTCTAAAGGTTGTCTTTGGAATGTCACATTTCCTAACTTTTAATTGATTGTAATCAGATCTGAGATCACATTTTGAGAAACAGGTGGCACCCTGTGTTAGGACCGAAAATCAGCAGGTGTAAATGCGGAAGCTAGAAGAGCAAACCTCGAAAGACCGCGAGTAAGAAGACAGCGAGAAATATACCAAAAGACACAAAGATTTAACGTGGTTCAGTCAATCGACCTACATACACAAAGGAGATGAGAAATCCACTATAAATATGAGAGTACAAAATACAGAGGGAAACACCCTAAAAAAAATTCACTCAGAATACATGGGAGGCTCACACAAGTGATAACGTATCAAGCTTGTGACCCATAAATTCTCCCCCTAACCAAAATTCTCAAAGCCGTTAAGACTACATTGTGAATGCTGATTAAGATAGAAGGGACATGTCTTTATTATAGAGTTCTAAACCTTTTCCTACTAGAAAAAGGATTAGTCAATCCAAAACCTTTTTCTGAAAGAAAAACCTATTTATGGTAAGAATCAAGGCAAATAAAACCCACCAAATCTCCCCCTTGGCCTAAATTTCTTACAAAATAAATTTATCCACCTTCTTCACTTAATCTTCAATAACTTGTGTCTCCTCTCCATAATCTCCTTTGCAAAATTTATATCTCAACACAGAGAACCTCTCTGAAACAATTTCTCCAACAAAAATATTCTTTACTGTCAAAATGGTTGCGGCTAGAACTACACCCGTCAATATAAACACCTCCTTCTAACCTGGTTCAATCATCGATTATCGAACCACTAAACCTGACTACATCATTGTATCTGGCTCTGATACCACTTGTTAGGACCAAAAATCAACAGGTGTTAATGCGGAAGCTAGCAGAGCAAACCTCGAAAGACCACGAGTAAGAAGACAACAAGAAATATACCAAAAAACACAAAGATTTAACGTAGTTTGATCAATCGACCTACGTCAACAAAGGAGATGAGCAATCTACTATAAATATGAGAGTACAAAATACAGATGGAAACAACCTCAACAAAATTCACTCAGAATACATAGAAGGTTCACACAAGTGATAACGTATCAAGCTTGTGACCCATAAATTCTCCCCCTAACCAAAACTCTCAAAGCCTTTAAGACTACATTGTGAATGCTGATTAAGTTAGAAGGAACATGACTCTATTTATACAGTCCTAAACCTTTTCCTACTAGAAAAAGATTAGTCAATCCAAAATCTTTTCCTGAAAGGAAAACCTATTTATGGTAAGAAATCAGGGCAAATAAAACCCAACAAATCTCCCCCTTGGCCTGAATTGCTGACAAAATAAATTTATCCAACTTTTTAACTTAATCTTCAAAAACTTGCTTCTCCTCTCCATAATCTACTTTGCAAAATTTATGTCTCAACACAGAGAACCTCTCTTAAACAATTTCACCAACAAAAATCTTCATTACTGTCAAAATGGTTGCGGCTAGAACTACACCCATCAATGTAAACACCTCATTCTAACCTGCTTCAATCATCGATTATCGAACCACTAAAGCTGACTCCATCATTGAATCTGGCTCTGATACCACTTGTTAGGACCGAAAATCAGCAGTTGTAAATGCGGAAGCTAGCAGAGCAAACCTTGAAAGACCACGAGTAAGAAGACAATGAGAAATATACCAAAAGACACAAAGACTTAATGTGGTTCGGTCAATCGACCTACGTCCACAAAGAAGATGAGCAATCCACTATAAATAGTAGAGTACAAAATACATAGGGAAACAACCTCAACCAAATTCACTCAGAATACATGAGAGGTTCACACAAGTGATAACGTATCAAGCTAGTGACCCATAAATTCTCCCCCTAACCAAAACTCTCAAAGCCCTTAAGACTACATTGTGAATGCTAATTAAGTTAGAAGGAACATG